AGTTACACTTTGGTACTGCAAACACATTGTCACAGGGTGACATGGACCCTTTAAGAGAGAAGAGGCCAGTGCACCTGTGGTAGTCAGCTGATTCCCCCCACCGCTCCAATTTGGGCTTAACAGAGGGCACCTGGGACCTAGAGGGCAGAGAGAGACCTGCTGAGTCAAAGCCACCCGAGATCACAGACTGGAGGCGTGAGGAAAAGGGCAGGTGAAAGCTGCCTTTGGGAGACAGTCTGCAGTGAGTCGATAATTCTGCAGGCCCTCTCTGGAAGAGGGAGGAATTGGCTAGGCCTGGGAGGCTAGTGGTGGGCCTAGTTAGCTAAAAGCCAGTGCTGGGATGCTGAAAAGGGCTGAGTTGTTAGTCTGTGTTTGGGTAGAAGAGTCATGAAGACTAGTCACTCTCAGGTGGCTGGCCTGGAGAGTGGGACTCTGGAATGAGGGCAGAAAAGACCAGAGAACCAAATGCTGGTGGACTCAGGTGTGTGGATTGAAAATGATGTCCCTGAAGAGAGGAATGGAAAATCATGGAACTTTTCTAAGTTTTACTGTGGGAATTAGGAGAATAGCTTGTATCATGAGAGTTCTGAAGAGTGTTTCACGTGAACATGATAAACTACGCCCAGATGTAGGACTGTATCAGTGAGTGAGACTGGGCTGTTTTTATGGCTGGACTTAGGGGAAACTGAGGCAGACACATATGTTAAATTAAATTAATTAAGATATCCCATCTCCTAGAACTGGAAGGGACCTTGAAAGGTCATCAAGTCCAGACCCCTGCCTTCACTAGCAGGACTAAGTACTGATTTTGCCCCAGATCCCCAAGTGGCCCCCTCAAGGATTGAACTTACAACCCTGGCAGGCCAATGCTCAAACCACTGAGCTATCCCTCCCCCCCAGGGTTGTGCTGTGGCCAGCTGCAAGAGGGTGCCACCAGTGCGGTTGCCCCGTGACACATGCTAAACTGTAAATGTGAGACTAGTCTTATTGACTTCAATGGGGCTACTCAAGTGCTTAAACTCAAGCACGTGCACAAGTGTTTGCAGAACTGGGAACTTAAACAGCAAGAGGAAAATGAAAGAAATGTAGAGGGAAGGGAGAAAAGTGCGTTTTTCCCTTGGCACTTTAAAATACATGAAGAGTGGAGGAGGCAAAGAAATATAGGATAGCTCTTCCAGAAGTCAGGAACTGCAGAGGAGAAGGCTCTTGCACCAGCATGGGGGACAGAGAGGAGGCTACTGCTAGAGAGTTTGGGAAAATGGTAGAGGGAGAAGAGGACCATGTGGAAAGCTGAAGAGATTGTTTTATTTTTAAAGATAACTACTATGGGTGAGATTCTGCACTGTGGCTCTAATAGAGGCAGCACAGGACTTGCGGCTTTTTTCTATGCTCTATGTAACCTGCCCTCTGAAGCCTTGGTGATTGTTTAGAAACTGATACCGAGGAGTCAGTTCTCTAGATCACTCAAGAGTTTGTTTATTTTTGCTTTCTGCTGATTAAGCAATGAAGATTGCAAAGCCTTGGTCATCTTAGTATTTTGCACTGAACACCTCTGACTTTAAAAAATACCATTGCTGTATGCAGTGTTGTTGTAGCCATGTTGGTCCGAGAATATTAGAGAGACAAAGTGGATGAGGTAATATCTTTTATTGGACCAACTTCTGTTGGTGACAGAGACGAGCTCTCAAGTTTACACAGAGCTGAAGAGCTTGTCTCTCACCAACAGAAGTTGGTCCAATAAAAGATATTAGCTCATCCCCCTTGTCTCTTTAAAAACACCAGTCAGACTAAATCAGTTTGTTTGGTTTCTCATAATAGTACCAATATCGGGGGGCGGGGGGGGGAGGGAGAGAATGGCTTATTCATGCTGCTGACTAGGGCCTGGTCTACACCTCAAACTTAGGTCAACTTAGCCTTGTTGCTCAGGGCTGTGAAGAGTTTCATGCCTTAAATACGGCTAGGTTGATGAAAGAATTCTTACCTAGCTACTGGGAGTTGGATTTACTGCAAGAGAAAAACCCCTTCTGTCATTATAGTATGTGTCTATACTGCATTGGCATACCTGCAGCAGCGATTGTAGTGTGGATCTTTGCAAAGCCCTTTATTTAGATCCTGATTCAGAAAGCATTCCAGCCCTTTTCAATGCTTAAGTATGAGGATAACCTTCAACAATTGCTTATGTCCCAATCAGTGACTTCAATGGGACTTAAGTGAGTATTATCGTTAACCACGTGCTTAAGTGCCCTTTCTGAATTAGGGATGCTTCACTGAATCGGGGCCTTAAGCTATGTCTACACTACACACCTACAGTGGCACAGTTGTACCTCTGCAGCTGTGCTGCTGTAAGGTCTCCCGTATAGCTGCTGTATGCCAATGGGAGAGAGCTCTCCCATCGGCATAATTAAACCACCCCCAACAAGTGGCAGTAGCTATGTTGGCATCTCCCGATGACCTAGCGCTGTCCACACCGGCGCTTTTGTTGGTAAAACTTACGTTGGTCAGGGAGGTGTTTTTTTTTCACACCCCGACCGACAAAAATGCTAGTGTAGACAAAGCCTCAGAAAGCAACTCAGTGAAAAAAGCACTAGCAATAAGCCCAATGGGGTCCAGGTCCATGACCGAAGCTCCAAGGTGCTACAATAATACAAATAATAAGAATCATTATAATACAGTAAACTAATCCAAGAGGAGAGAGAAAAAAAAATTTCTTTAATTTTTTTAAAGGTATAAAAACATTAAAATAAAAATAAAATCATCAGGGTAGCAAGGGA